GATAAGAACCAAAGTCAAATTTCAATGGTGGGTAAGTTATACCATTAGTCCATCTAGATAAAATTTATATTAAAATTATTTATACCATTAGTCCATCTGGATAAAATTTATATCAAATTATTTATATTAAAATTGCAAAGGTCAAAATAAAATTTCTTTCAAACAAGGAAATCAAAAGAGAAATAACAAATCAATAAAATTTTCAAAATTAAATTAAAAATTAATAAAACCTTTGAGGGGAATTTATTAGAAAATCATCTTTTAAGTATTTGTATGTCAATTAGTCCATATGATATTCTTGTATTCCAATAAGTCCTATTAATTTGGATATTTGATCTATCAAATCTTAATTTTCATATTTAAAGTATTTTATGGATAATTTTACCTTTATAAATATTTTTTTAAATCTTTAGCAACTTGGTGATGTGAACATTCACATTAAATAAATTTGATAGTGTAAATGTTCACATCATAAAACATTCACACTGTCAATGTGAACATTAATGCGCGCTTCACCTATTATTATTATTAGGGATATTTTGGTAATTATGTCACCCAAATGACTTATTGTAGTATAAGAAAATAATTTCGACTAAGTAGAATATAAGTACGTGGAATTTTGGAGACTTACGTGTAAGTTCTAATAAGTGGACTTATTGTCTAATAGGTCCTATGATAATTAATGACATTTTTTATTAACCATTATTAAAAAATGTCACTAATTGTTAATTTTCAACGACATGTCACTAATTATAAGTTTTAGTAACAATTTAAAAAAATCGTCACAAAAAGTTACTAATTTAAAACTTTCAGTGACATTTTACGTCATGCGCGCTTCACCTATTATTATTATTAGGGATATTTTGGTAATTATGTCACCCAAATGACTTATTGTAGTATAAGAAAATAATTTCGACTAAGTAGAATATAAGTACGTGGAATTTTGGAGACTTACGTGTAAGTTCTAATAAGTGGACTTATTGTCCAATAGGTCCTATGATAATTAATGACATTTTTCATTAACCATTATTAAAAAATGTCACTAATTGTTAATTTTCAACGACATGTCACTAATTATAAGTTTTAGTAACAATTTAAAAAAATCGTCACAAAAAGTTACTAATTTAAAACTTTCAGTGACATTTTAAAAAATGTTACTAATTGTAAGTTTTAGCGACATTTTATGAAAACCGTGACAAAAAAAGTCACTAATTACCAATTTTTAGCGACATGTAAAAGATCAACACAAAAAAATTATTTTTAGTGACGATTTTACTAAGATTTATTTTCAATAGGATTTGACGATTTCACTATTAGCACCCACTTCTTTACTTTGGCTCCTCCATTTCTTTAAACCCCCCACATAGCAAAATGAATCTCCTCCCTTTTCTCTTTGAACACCTACCTTAATACTAATTATATCCCAAACCCAAACCGTAACCCCCACTTCTAACCACTACCTCCGGCACCATTGCCACTGCCTTTGACAACCAACCAAGGCCAAAATAAGAGCTACATACAATAAACCATCATAGTGAAAGAAGAAGAGCCATCAATGGTGCCCACGAAAAAAAAAAAAAGGGGGAGAGGGTAAAAATGGACTTCCCTTGATGTCGTGGAGATCGGGGGTCGATTGGTTTTGGTTTCTCCATCGGAAAATAGGTGGTTGATCGATCAAGATAGGTTGGTTGAAATGTAATAACCCGACCGTCGCACATGATTTCTGTTATATTCTTAGTCCTCGATTGGTACTTTTAAATGCTTACTGTGTAGTTCCGTGAAAAAAATCATGATTAAGGAAGTGAAATCCATGTCTATGAATGTCTATCTGTCTCACAAGAAAACCATCTGTCACCATTAACACGTTTAAAACATTAATGCGCACTTCACCTATTATTATTATTATTATTATTATTATTATTATTATTATTATTATTATTATTATTATTATTATTATTAGGGATATTTTGGTAATTATGTCACCCAAATGACTTATTGTAGTATAAGAAAATAATTTCGACTAAGTAGAATATAAGTACGTGGAATTTTGGAGACTTACGTGTAAGTTCTAATAAGTGGACTTATTGTCCAATAGGTCCTATGATAATTAATGACATTTTTCATTAACCATTATTAAAAAATGTCACTAATTGTTAATTTTCAACGACATGTCACTAATTATAAGTTTTAGTAACAATTTAAAAAAATCGTCACAAAAAGTTACTAATTTAAAACTTTCAGTGACATTTTGAAAAATGTTACTAATTGTAAGTTTTAGCGACATTTTATGAAAAACGTGACAAAAAAGTCACTAATTGCCAATTTTTAGCGACATGTAAAAAATCATCACAAAAAAATTATTTTTAGCGACGATTTTATTAAGATTTATTTTCAATAGGATTTGACGATTTTACTATTAGCACCCACTTCTTTACTTTGGCCCCTCCATTTCTTTAAACCCCCACCAAGCAAAATGAATCTCCTCCCTTTTCTCTTTAAACACCTACCTTAATACTAATTATATCCCAAACCCAAACCTTAACCCCCATTTCTGACCACTACCTCCGGCACCATTGCCACTGCCTCCGGCAACCAACCAAGGCCAAAATAAGAGCTACATACAGTAAACCATCATAGTGAAAGATAGAAAAAGAGCTATCAATGGTGCCCAAGAAAAAAAAAAGGGAAAAGAGAAGGGAGAGGGTAAAAATGGACTTCCCTTGATGTCGTGGAGATCGGGGATCGATTGGTTTTGGTTTCTCCATCGGAAAATAGGTGGTTGATCGACCAAGATAGGTTGGTTGAAATCCCATGTAAGCCTCGCCATGCGGCGGTGGAAGATGAGTTCGAGCATGAATAGGTTGGTGTGGAACCAACTGTGGCTATGGTTCTGGGTCTTGGGTCCGAGGCCATGGTTAGGTAGGTAGGGGCAGAAGTCGGTGAAGAGAGGGAAATTGGAGCAGGTAGAGAAGAGGTCAAGGTTGAATTGGGTAGGGAGATTTTGGATGTGGATCCAACGGTTGGAGCAGTCTGTGTTGAGATTGGACTGTTGAGAATTGAAGAGAATGAAGAAAAAGAAGAAGATAAAGGAGAGAGTGATGATGATGGGTTTGGTGGTGGCCATTACGAGGATCTAGGTATAGGGAATGGGTAGAGAAAGAATAGAAAGGGGGCTTGTTTTTTCTTTGTTAATTTTTTTGGATTGAATTATTGTTTTTTTGAAGAAACACCAGTGTTGGAATGAAGTGTCACCATGATCGATAGCAGAGGGTGGGCAATGACCGGAGGTGATAGGAATGGTTAGGGTTAGGGTTTGGAAAATTAAAATTAGAATTAGAATGTTAGGGACGAGGTTAAAAATGTAACTTCATGTTTGGACAAAATTGGAATTAAAAAAAATAAAAGAGATGGAGGGTCCAAAGAAAAAAGGTAAGTGCTAATAGCAGCACTCTCATGATAAATTCTACGAGTTCAAACAACATCCTTTAATCTAGATTACGGGCAAGAGGGAATCTGGCATCCTACAACTTACTATACCAATGTTTCCTTATTTTGGCTTCATTTGAGAAGTGAGTTGATTTTTTAATTTTATAACTATTTTAGTTTGGGCTAAAAAATCTCGTTTGAATTGGATTTTTTGACCCCCCTTTTTTTTTAATTTTTATAAGAGAAAAAATGAAATGATTATAATTTATATATGACATTTTATCTTATTAATTTTTTAACTTCTTTCATCTTTTTATAAATATTTTAACCTTTTAACTTCTCAACCCAACCTACCAAAGGAATTTCCATGGATAATTTATATTTATATGATTCCAATAGTGAACCTTAAGTAGCTTTTAATTAACGCCAGCCAAGGTGTAAATTGGTATTGCCAAAGAGATCATTTTTAGTTCAAGTTAAAATAGTTAAAAAATAAAAAAAATTAAAAAGTCAATCTATTCAGATTAAAATAATCAAACAAATTAAAAAAATCAAAAAGTCAATCAATATCTCATATGAAGACTGAGAGAAGTCAAACCCTATTTTGATCTCGATACATTCTGGCATATTAGGGCCCGTTTGGAAATTAACGTTTTGACTTTTTTAAGAAAAATGTACAAAAAAATATTTCTTCCATCTCAAAATATTAATCCATTTTTGGATATTCTAACTTTTTTGATATTATAATTATTAAATTTTAAAAATATTAACTTTCAAAAACTATTCTTTGATTGTATAATTTTGTATAATGTTAATGTTAAAAAATGACAAAATAAAAAATTTCTTTACTTGGTTCCATTTTTTCAAAATCACTTTTCAGAAAATTCTACTTTTTGTTTTCTGTATTTTTTTGTTTTTACTGAATTTTTTTAATATTTTAAGTAATTTTTTTTTTACTTTTTAGACATACCTAACATAAATATACCTAAAAAGTAAAAAAATTATGAAAAAAATATTTTAAAAATTCACTAAATACCAAAAATATAAAAAAATATGAAAATTCAATACATTTTTTATATTTTTATGTATTTATTAATTTTTTAAAATATTTTTTCACAAAAT